TCCCAATCCATACACACATCAATTGTGTAAAGCGCATTTGTACATCGTTTCTCAAAACATTTTCTCTCCATTTAAACCCCCGACATTAGGTCCTCCTTCTAGGGCTCCTTGAACTAAAACAGATTTTACCAAAATGAACAAAAATTATCTCGCGTGCACTATTTCACTGCTTGCTATCTAAACCACGAGGTGAGACTGCAGTGAACACCTGCAAGGACCCACCATGCGCATAAATTCCTGCTTTAATGAGAAGTGATGGGGGGTGGGGTGAATATTAGCAATGTATTAAATTTTTAATTTCTTCCTCCACAGACTGATGTAGTGTTCTGGCTTGCTCAGCATTAGATGGATGAAGTAAAAAGCTATACGAGGTGGTGCTGGGGAGTGGGGGTGAGGAGGAAGATAAGGTAAACAGGGGAATATAAGAAAGGGAAATTAAAAAGAAACTACACATGAAACAGAGAGAGACAGAGGAGGAAATGTTATCAATTTTAAATTAGAGAAACTGAGGCACTGAAAGAGACCAGACAAGTAAACCAAGGACACCCATTTGGCAAAGATGTTTTCTTCGTGGTGCCTACCTGTCACTCACGTTGGAACCCAAAGAGAAGGTGCTAGAACAGCGGTTCTCATCCTGTGGGCTGCCACCCCTTTGTGGGTTGAACGACCCTTTCACAGGGGTCACCTGAAACCCTTTCACAGGGGTCGGAAAACACATTATTTCTGGTGGTCTTAGGAACTGAGACAAAGTGGAAGATGTTCTTGAGACAGCACAAGAGGAGTTCCTTGAACTTATTAACAGCAATGTAATGAGAACTGATTTGGATTTCTCTACAATGCCAGTTACAAAATTCTGGAACAAGTGTTTGCAGCCATATCCTGTCTGAGACTGTGTTGCACCTTCTTCCACTGCCAACAGCATAGCTTTGTGAAACAGGGTTTTCCAGCTTGTTGGTTATCAAGTCTAAATACAGAAGTAGACTTGTGGGAGATGATCTTCGTTGTGCTCTTGTAAAGACGGCCCGAGAATTTCTGATCTGGTGAGAAAAAAGCTATCTCAACCTTGTGGCAAAATGTAGCAATGTAGTTTACTGTTGTTATATTAAGACTGTTACCCATGCTACACCATGCTTCAAGATAAAATTTCATTTACTTGTAATTAGAAATAAATATTTCACAATATATAATTACATGTTGTTTTTGTGATTAATCACTGCTTTGATTATGTTCAATTTCTAACAATGATAATACATCCTGTCTATGAGATACTTACATGACGATTCATAACAGTAGCAAAATGACAGTGATGAAGTTGCAATGAAAATAATTTTATGGTTGGGGGTCACCACCACATGAGGCACTAACTGTATTAAAGGGTCGCAGCATGAGGAACGTTGAGAGGCACTGTGCTAAGGAAGAAGGCTGGAGGCTGACAGGAGGTGGGGGAGCAGGGGTAGGAATGGTGAAGACAGGAGGGCAGAGATCAGCGGGAACGAACTCTGCTCGGGCAATGTTTGTCACAAACACTTATACAACAGGCAGGCTTCATGCCAACATTTTCCGTTTCCAGAGCTGTTTCCCTGTTTTGCAGGATGACTTCACAGAAAAGGCCTGAGTGCACAAGCTCAGTCAGCATGGACCCAGACAGAAGTGACCTCATCTTGGAAACACCTACTTCACCACTGGGTATACATACACCTAGCAACTTCCTCTGGCAATGACCTGTGAACTACCCGGGCCCCTCTGAGCCTGGCACCTGGTCTTCTGGTTCCAATCAACACCTGCACCCAAGCACCTTATTCTTGGTTAATTAAATGTAAAATCACAACCAACAGTTCTCAATCATGTATACAAAGATGCTGTTCTATTTTGCGTTTGTGATCTTAAAGATGCCGTTCTATTTTGCTTTTGTGATCTTAAAAACATTTTTTTTAAAGTGGGCAGAATTGAAATCTTTCAAGTCTCTAGGGGAAACAGTTAAAATGCTATGCCTAGGAAGTCAAAATCTTGTCCTGATCATCCCACAGTAGATAGAGATGTAAGTAAAATATAAACCTTACTTATTTGTCCACTACTCCTTCCTAAGGAGTCTTTGGATGGTGCAATTAACTGCATCACCTACTAGGCCCAAAGGGTGTTTGTTCGAACTCACCCTGAGGCTCCTCCAAAGACAGGGCAGGAGATCTCTTTCTGAACAGTGCAGCCTGGAAAAGGCTAAAGGACAATTTTACTTTGCTAACAGGGCATCTATATCCCCTAGCAAAAACACCACTAAGCATAAGAGTGTAAAAAGGATTTTTAAAAAGGGTTTTAAAAAAGGGTGTTTAAAGTTTCCCATCCTTCAACTCACCTTATTTGAAATTGTGCTAATTGGTTCAATAAACACCTTTGTCCTACAAGCTATGTCCTCATCAAAATGACAAGCTTCTACCCCCCAGTGGCTATGTGGTGGAACTACAACATACCTTTTTCCCGGATTACTGATGAAATTGTAACATAAACTAAAACTATTAATATTTTTTCAAGCTTCAATCACACATTAACCAATGTCATGAAACAAAATGTGTATAAACTGAATGAAAAGTTAATTTTCTCTGTTGTCACTCAATTGTAAAAATCTGACATTGTCTACAATGATGTTCACTGAGTATTGACTGAACTCTATTAAAAAAAAATTCGCTATTTCTCCACATGGAAGGAACACACCAACCTGTGTGATCCAATAATTGTAAATAAGAAAACCCAAGAGTTCCAACCACTTCCTCATTCCCGAAGGCTCACCAGGCCAAAGCCAACCCATTGGCCTATTTGTCCACATAGTGAGTAGTTCATACCACAGCCCTAAATAGCCAAAATAAGACAAAAATGGGTCAGAAGAACCGTAGGGATGTATGGTCTGGTCTTAAGGAAAAGTGACTGGACCCAGCTGCCCCCAGACCTGCACCTTAATGCTGAGTCCAAAACGCATTAGCCTCCCCCATGAGGCAGTGAGACACCCATCTCATCCCCAGGGTGTACGCTCTTCAAGGTTTAGGTATTATCTATATTCATATTCTACATTGTTTCACACAAATGCTGCCTTTCAAGTGAATGCCCCCTGAAAGCTGTAAGAAACTCGTTCTAGCACTGTCCAGCATACTCTCAGTGCTCCTCTCTTATATTCAAAAAACTGCCTTAAAATTAAATTTAGGTGCTACATAGGACTGAAATCAGTATCACTACATCATCTCGCTTCTTACAGTCCCAAAGTAGCTTTGCCTTAGCTCTGCCATAGATGTTTGAAATTAAATGTTGCTTTGAATGAGTTCAGGCTTTTCCTAAAAACCCAATCAACTTGTGTGGTAAATATTTCCCACTATTGAGCATAGAATAATGTATTCCAGATTCTGAAAACAATTTTAAAACATGAGGCTTGGGTAAAATGTTTTCTAAAATGCTATGACTGAAATGTGTGGATCACTGCTAAAGTGTTTTTAAAATAGTCATATTCCTCCTGTCCTACATCCTTTATAGGAATACCAAGAAGTTCCTTATGAACTATGAATAAAGGAGAAC